ACCGTCTGGTTGAAGTACTAGTTGGAGAACCTGCTTTATGTCAGACCATGCTCTATGCTTTTTGGAATGGACTAGTTTTGTAGCCTGCTGAAATGGAGAGAACTGGGTTTCAAGATGATTTTGGCATTTTCCCACGCCAAGCTGAATTAAGCTGCTGGGCGACAGACATACCCCAGAGAAACCAAAGACAAATGCCAATTTTAATAGGGTTGTTTATCCTTTTCTCTCCAGTTAGTAAGTATGAATGGACCCCAAATTCAGTCAAAAGATCGTGTCAAAAGCAGGAAGTTAAGAAAAAAATAAGTGTTTTGGGGTTAGTTCATGATTTTGATACTACTGAAGTTTTGTTAAAACCAAAGATTAAAAAAATAAGTTTGTAAATTGCCATAATTTTAAAGTGATAAAAGCACAAAACAATTTTTCATGCTACAGAAATATATAATACTTTAGTGGCATAAATATATTGTTACATGTAAGGTTTTCAAAATTGATATTCTAAAAAGTATTTCTCAGCTACGTTTACTTTTAAAGAGCATAAATAGGAAATAATTCTCACAGATGAAAACTGAGTAAGTGTGAGGGATTAGATGCTTAATATTTTAATATAAAATATCCTTTGCTATATCATCAATAAGGCCAATTTATAGAAATTAATCTCAGAGAGACAAAAGAATATGCATGTTTAAGATCCTCATAGTTATTCCAGAGAGTATAAACCAAATAAGATATTGGGGGCTTTTGCTTGATGATCATTTGTACCAACTAGTTTTATCAATACCAAAACAGATTTTCAGTTGTATTAAATTAACGTTTTAAAAAACAAAAATAATTTTTGCAAAAATTTCATGTGCATCAATAGTTCCATCTACTTTGGAAAGATTAGGGGAGGGTCAATATTTTATTTTTTTTATGAGTGGCTAAGGCAAGCACTCACTTTCTTGAATTATTGAATTTTTATGTAACACTTATGCACCGTTGAATTACTTTCATTGTAATTGCTTCATTGTGTGTGCTGTGGCCTTTGGGTTTACATTTTTCACCTAGATGTGATTCATCTTTTCTGAAGGCTACTTTTAAATTACATCAGGTCCCATCTTGACCTTTTGATTTAGGATAAGTTGATTATATTTTGGTTAAAAAAAAAAAAAAGGAAACTGTTACTTTTTTATTGGAAAAATAATCCTTAGCAATGATGTATTATGAGTCTATACCATCAATCTAAATGTGTTTTAGAGTGATGAGAACCCATTGACACAGTTGTCAAACAAGAGTAATGAATGTAACAAAAATTCATTCCCTAGAAATGTTTGGCATAATTGCTGATGTGGCAATATACTTAATACATAGTCTTCTGGTGGTCTTTGTAAAGCTTGAGGGTTTAAATCATCATTGGGAGGTAAAAATAGAAACAGTGCCCTATCGATATTAGCAAGTATGAAATAATGGTTCTACATAATGCCTATGGGAAACCATACCTATGCAAAACTACATATGTGTTCTTTTCAGGGCAATACGCGCTGAATTGAATTTTACTAAAAACTATTCAAACTAATCAAAAGAACCACATTGACTCCCCTTTAAAATTTATGCTAAAAAACATCTTCTTCCAAACCATTCCTAGTAGTATTTGTATTCCTGCTGCTTTTGTGAAACATTATTTATAAAAAATATACTTGACAGGGGGGCATAGAAATGATAGTGCAGTAAGGTATCACTAAAAACTGGAAATCTCAGTCGTCGAGGAGGTAGTGAGAGTTACCAGCTCAGGCTGCAGGGACTTCCCATTGATAGCTGCTGTGGTCTCCCCATTTGGGTCCTTCCTGCAGGCTTTGACCCTGTGGACCATCCTCCTCCCCTCCTGATCCTCTTCATTCTTGGTTTCCTCAGTATTTCCCTCTCACTCTGACCACTCTTTCTAACAACTTCTGCCCTCCCCTTAAATCTCAGTAGCATCCCAACTCCAAGTTTATTCTGTCCTCTCTCAGAAGCCATAGGGTAAAGATGAAGAAGCTGCAAGTTTTGGATTTAGATAGAAGCAGTATTGTATTACAGATATATAGGGTCATTTACTTAACCTCTCAGTGATTCTGTTTCTGCCTGTGTGGTGAAGCAATAGGATAATTACAGAATTGGTGCAGCACCTGCAATATGTATACGGGTCTGGGACATGCTAGTAGCCCATTATCTCATTTTTATTAACATGGTGTTTTTGATTGCTCCATTTCCCTATATTTAGCTGTGGCCTCTGGTCATCTGTCAAACAGATTGTCAGCAATTGCTCCACAGCAATGTGGTGTAGGTTCTTCATTCACAGTGAAGGGTGCCAAATAATTAGGGTGAAGATTCCCCTAAGGAGCTTGAGTCAGCAAACTAAAGCACTGTCTAAGTTTCTATTGATTTTACCATACACAGATATTTGTTTTAGATGGACTTTGAGGAGGAAGGAGTAGGTTACTCTTTAGAGTTGCATATACATTTTACCATGATTTTTTGGAGATGAAGGATTGTAGTATGCTTTGGCCAGGAGACACAAGAATGCTTATGTTCTGTTCTGCCTGTGAGGTCCCCAAATAAGATACATGTAGTGATGATATTGACAAAGCAAAAGAAAGTACAAATGTATTATTAGCTGAGGCTTGATCTTGAGTCCCAATACAGAGCTCTACCATAGGCTAGAAGAGGTGACAAGTTCTTTACCCTAGTGAGGTTGGCTTGAATGACCTGAATGTAAACTATTCCATTAGGCAGTCTCTCATTCTCTTAAGCCAAAACCAGTGTCAGACATTAACATTGCGATATGAAGAGAAAGATGGATCCAAGGCCCACATCCAGCAATAGGAAAAGAGGACACAGAGGGATGTTTCTTGACTGTAAAGTATGGCACTGGCTAATCTACCTGCCTCAGGTCTTGGGCAGGCCCCAAAGCCAAGCTGAGCTGCCCTAAAGAGAGAGATTGCAGGAAGATGGAGAGATGGCTAGGTAGAGAGGAGAGAAATGAGACCACAGCCACCTACTGACATAATAAAATTCTACCTACAAGGCACACTCACATATTGGGACAACAGGAAACCACAAAAATTAATCCATTGATAAAGTAAAAAATATGCAATACCACCAGCTGTAATGGGCAAATCAGTGTCCTTACCCCTAAATCAGTGTTCCATCTGTGTATCCTTATTCTTCTTGGGGAGGAGGCAAATGTGGGCTTAGGGAGGAGGCAGTGGTTACCCCTAGAAGCCAATAATCTTGTATGTTGGTAACTGAAACACCCCCTAAACAGTCTCCCTTTCCAATCTCTACCTTCTTTCCATCAGTCACTCACAGTACTGACAAGTGTCCTTCATCTCACCTAAAATCTTCAATAGGTCTACATTGCTGTCAAGTTCAAGTCCAGACTCATAAATTAGGAGGTGCTCAAGAGGCCCTTTACACTCTGGCTCCAAGTGACCTCTATAGCATCCCCTTTTTGCCATACTTCCTTCTCTCCCCATCACTCTGCCTGTAGCTTCATTGCTCTACTGATGACATCTCCCATTTTATCATTGTCATTACTTTGCTCCTGCCCTTCCTCTATTTCTACCCACCTTTAAGGTCAAACTCCTCTGTTATCTCCTTTAGAAAGCCTTCTTTGATGCCCCCTTCTTTGTGGCCTCATAATGTCCTATAAATAGTGCATTTTATGGTGATTGGTGGTAGTTCTGTTTTTCCCATTAGCATCTGTACTGAGATCCATTATGGTAGGAAACATGTCTTATTCACATGTTATTCTTTTTTCCTTATTTATGTTTAATATATCGACAGATACATAGTAAATGTTCAGGGTGTTTGTGGAATTGAATTATTATTGTGGACGTAGCTTCAAGTCCGTGTGACTTTTTCCTGTGTACCGCTAGAGAGTTGTTGTTTTTTCAAGTTGGAACTTTTAAAAATGGCTTTTAATTCCAAGGAAGAGCCTCTAACTTTCACAACATTAACGTTTTGTTCTGATAACATATCATTGCATCAAACCCAATGAACATCTCTATTATGATTGTTTTTACTAGGACATGATAATGCTTTTTGTTATTTAATACAGAAAATACTCTGTAACACATGCATAAACTAAAACATCCGAACTGATTACAGGTCTTTTATTTTGTTCAAGGAATCATTTAAGATTCATAGTTGTCTTAATATTTGAGTGCAGCCAGGAGTTCCTCAATTGACGCTTGTTTCTCATCTCTGAAGGGTTTTTTCAGAGGTTGATAGTATGACTTCTGTTTCCAAAAATCCAACGTCCAAAAAGCCACAAACCCTCCTTTAGAAAACCATGATGTCACTGAGTTGGTTGTCTAAAAAACCAACTAGTGAAACCTAATGCCCGCCTCTGTGATTGTACTCCGTGCTGTCTTTTTCTGGCCCATTCTCAGCTGGAATATTTGCAAAGGAAACATTTAGGCTGAGGAGACAAGAGTTGGAGAGGACCAAGCTCTGGAGCTGTCCATGGCCGAACCTTTGTCCTAGCCCTGGTGTGCTGTTCCTCTCCTGACTATTCCCATCATCTACTTAGGACCCTCATTCAAAACTTGGGGGCCTTTCAGAAACAGTCAAAAGAATTCCAATCCTACTAAAGGAACACTTTAAATAATAATGAGGATAGTAATAATAATAATGATAATAATAATAATAATAATAAGCAGCCCACAGCAAGGAAGTATTTTAGCCACCTGTATGAAGCATTACAAAAACCTCTATTCCCCTAAAGAGAAAATAGACGTGACTCTTTGGGATGAGATCCATTAAGAGGATAGCCACCACAGTTTGAGTTTCCTCTCTGCTGTCACTTTTGATTGAAACCAGCAGTGAAGTGTTTTGCCAAATCTATTCATAATTCCCTCACCCGGGTCCTCATATAAATTGTCTTTCCCATCAGGGAGTCACTTAGAATTAATGTATTGACAATCTGCTGTGATTGATGACAAATGGCATGTTAACATTTCCCCCTACTCTTCAACCCACAGAGCAATACTGAGAAGATATTTGGTTTTAAGGATTAAAAAGAAGAACAGCGTGTTCAGACCTTCAAAGGTAGGAGTTTATCTTCTTAAAATAAAGTAATTGTGCCTTGGCTGATTTGGCTCAGTGTATAGAGCATCGGCCTTCGGACTGAGAAGAGTCCCATTGATTCTGATCAAGGGCACATGCCTGGGTGCGCACTCAACCCCCAGCAGGAGGCATGCAGGATGTTTGAAACATCTTTCGTCATTGATGTTTCTAGCTCTCTCTGCTTCTACCTTCCTTTATGAAATTAATAAAAGTATTTTTTTAAAAAGAAGGGGATTATACCACAAAATGTGATTATATAATATTACTGCCTTATTTAATACATTTTAATCCAGAGAATATAATAAAATGCAGAGTAGGAATATAGATGCAAAAGCTTATTGTCAAAAAGGATGGACCAAATACATAGAACACACAGTGAGGAAACTGGCCCTTCATGTCCTTTCATAATAAAACAACCTTGTTTTACTAAATTCTGAGTCATAAACTTCAGGAAATAGACAGTAGAATAAAAGCCTTGCTAGTAAACAATATTTTCTGAAAGAATTAAAGGCAAAATGACAATGAATCATTTACAAGAAAAAGCTTTCTTTTTGATTTAATCATTTATCAAGAACATACTATCTGTACTTGATTTTACTTGTCTCACAGTGAAATCCAAGTGATACAAAAGTCCTTTTGGAAAGTTTAAATATTACTTTGATATGTGTGTTCTGCTTCGAAAATCACCCCTTCCCCCATTTTCCATCCCCCACTACTCACTCTGTTTTCATTTATTTAGTCACTTAGAATTATCAGCTTTAGAATGGACTCTACCAGGCCTATGATGCCTTCTGAAAGGCCATTATTATAATATTGAACTTCATGAAAAATATCTTACTTGGAGATCTGGAACATAGTTCAGAGAACCATATCTCAACCAATAATGGCTTTCTTAAAAATTTTATAAGAGCACGATTGTTCAAACATTTAGTCCCATACATCCTAGGTTTCATTTGGCAAATAAACTCTCATGGACTTCAACTGAGAAAAGAAGATTGTATGCAAGATTTTGAGGTAGTAAAATATTCTAAACATGTCCCTTATCCTGAAGAATTCTTTAATTGATTCATTCGGATGTTGTTTTGTATTTAAGAGGAAATGATTCATGCCTTATTTGAACTTGCTTTCATTGTGTTGTATTGAAACTGATTTTATATGATTAGTTCTTATGCTGTTTCAAAATATTACCAGAAATCCCCAAATTGGTAGTCTGGGAACTAAGAACTCTGCTTTGTGAATGAAATAACACATTTTGCTTTGCTAGAAGAGTTCTTGAGAAGTGAAAATTAGTGAAGACTAACAAAATTGCTGAGTTGAGTATGACAAATACCGAAAGAGCCTTAAAATCTGTATAAATACCAGTTTTAATAGAAAGTTTCCTTAGTAAATGTAAAATGTCTTCTTTTATAGTGTTTTGGTACATCTATACATACCCCTCCAACAAGTGTCCATATTTCATAAAATAAAGAATACCTGTGAGATAAAGCAATGCAATATTTAATAGCAAAATCCAGTAATCTGGCAGGGACATGAAAGTCTGTATTCACCAAATCACAGTTGTTAGGAACTAGGAATTAATAATAATGATGTTAAGTATGAGTGTCCTGTCAATAAAACACTATACTCAGCAGTAAGTTATTGCAAGTTCTTCTGTAGGCCATATAATAATGTGTGATACCTAGGAGAGGAAAAAGGACAGCAAGACCCAGGAACTTATCTGTAAATGGCTGTTTCTGGTAAAAGGAGAAAATACCTGAAGACAAGGGCAGAGAAGGGACCACCAGAAGGGAATACATCTGGCCCTTTTAAGGGGACAGAGATGGGGCTCAATAAAGGGTGTGTCCCACTTTTGAGGGTGCTCTCAGCTGGTTTCTAAGGGAGTTTACCTGGCAGTTTCTACTGTTTTCTATTTTGTTCATTGTGTGAGAGTTATTTGACTTAAAATCCCTATCTTCTAGGCTAAGTCATAGTGAAAAGGTTCAATTCTATGTTCTTCTCAATGATCTTTTTGGCCAGTCTTTTGTTAAATGAATGAAGTGAATTTTTAGTTGTCATGCACTACTGGAGCCACTAGAACTTCTCATGTTATCTTTGTAAATGATTTAATCGGGTTGAAACTAAATACTGAGTTGTCTTCCCCATTTCTTTCCCTGGCCTCACAAAGACTCCCTAAAACTTCCCGAAATTCTAAAGCACACTTGTGTTCAGAAGTCCCCAGGCTACCCAAGAATTCGGCCTCTGACATTAGAATCAGAAAGTTTTTTGTGGCTCCTGTTTTCCTAGTCTTTCCCACGTTCACTGGTGTGCGTGTTATGTTCTCCAAAAGATGGCGTGTGAACGCCCACTCCCAACCCCACATCCTTCTCTCTGGAAAGTGCTACCTCTTCCAATTCCCAGTGTGTGTGTGTGTGTGTATATATATATATATATATATATATATATATATATATATGAACCGTGCTCACACTCAACATTAATGTTAACATGTAAATTCTTTCCAAGGAAAAGCTACCTTGCACCTGGCTTGAAAACCTTTAATTAAAATGCAGAAGAGCAGTAGTGGAATTGCAATAGCGACCTGTTCAAGGAGAAGGGACACTCCCCAAAACACTCCATAGAATGTCTGGTTTTCTTGTCTGGCTGCGTTTGTATAAGATTGGTTCTGGTTGTAACCATGAGTCTGTGAAGAATCTTGGATATGCTGGACCTTAAAGCATGCCCCTTTTGGCAAGCTACATAAAAGGAAATCTCTGACACGATATCAGAGTTCTTTATGATGGTTTTTGGTTAATGGCTTGAAAGTTGTTCTTCCCCCTGGACTCATAGTACTAGCTTTTTAAATTGATGCATATATCTCAGGAGAATGGTAATTATAGTTGACCCTAATATTCAGAGATTAGAAGCCCTGAGCCCTCATACAGTCAAAAATTTGTGTTATGACTTTTAACTCCCCCAAACCTTAACTCTTCCCCCTACCCCCCAGCAGGGTCGCCTAAGATGATGAGTGATCACATCTCTTTACTGTTAGCACCCCTGGGTAATCCCTCCACTGTGACTGTGGCAAACTCCTCCCCCGAGTGACTGCTGCTCCCCAGAGCTGGCCATTCCTGGAAACTGAATGAGAGAGAGAACATTTTGTTCTTCCATCCTCATGTACTGCCCAGCTTTCCATTTCTATGTGAGGTCTGAGTAACACCCTGTGACCTGAGGAAAGATGGAAGAATATTAAACTACATGGACAGTGATTCTGTAGGGAGGTTGAATTATAATACACCTCCTGATATTTAGCTTTGAGTTATGGCATCCATGATTGGGATGCCTTTACTAATTAAGTCCTTTCTGCCCTTTGCATCCTGTCCTCATAATTCTTTATATATATATATATATATATATATATATATATATATATATATATATATATATAATTCCCCCCCCCCCCCATTTATTTCAGAGAGGAAGGGAGAGGGAGAGAAAGATAGAAATTTCAATGGTGAGGGAATCATCGATTGGCTGCCTTTTGCACACCCCCTACTGGGGACTGAGCATGCAACCCAGGCATGTGCCCTTGACTGGAATCAAACCCTTCAGTCTGCAGGCCTACACTCTATCCACTGAGCCAAACCAGCTAGGGCCTGTCCTTATAATTCTTATGGGACACAATGTTTTTTTTCTCTGGAAACTCATCCTATTCCCTTCCCACTACTCTGAACTGCTCAGTTTGTTAGCTGTCATTGAAGGCTCAGAAAGAGCCGTGAAAGGTATCTGAAAAAAGACATGAGCATGCTCTCTTAGGAGATGAGTGAGGGGTGGATGATCGCATAAGGGTGAGAGAGTGAGCAGAATGGTGGCATTATGTTTTTGTGACAATCAGTGCTAGCAGTCATTAGAGGAATCCTGCAACTTTCAAGCATTCTTCCCCTCCGCTCTCACTGTGGTCTGGGGGAGAGAAATATCTGCTTTGACATTGGAAGGAAAAAGTTGCCTGAGTCATTCCAGAAGAGGAAATGAGTAGCAACTTAGCATTTATACAACAAAGAGCTGATGCAATGATCTTTGCAAACAGCTATTTGCAGATACTCACTGGGTTAGATTTTTTTTCCTTGCTGCACTTTTGGCTTGCAGTTTTTAAATGTTTTCTAGTGTCATCAGAGTTAGAGCTGGTGATGAGATAAAGCTAGATCAATGGACCATGGGCTTTCGTGTGCGGACTTACTGAAATGACCAGAATTCTGCCCTGGGATCTGTGTTCCCAACAAGTACCTCTGCCGAAATAACTCTGCCCCTGAGAAGAAGCTTATTCAAAATAATAATTATAAACGGTATCCCTTTCTCATTCAGAATGATGATCTTTATGTTCAGCCTCTCATGCCAACGTCAATAGTTATTAAATTTCATGCACCATAACCTACTGAGGGGGAGATACTCTGAGTATTGATAATACTAGAAAGCCTTAAATGTTCAGGTCCATGGAACCTTGTACACTCAAAGGTAGAAATGTGTGCCTGAGCTCTGTGGGGTTTTATCAGAGCCCTTCCTTCCAGCATCTGGACATTTCATCCCTGGCTGCTTTTGGAGGGAGTCAGATCCTGACAGGAGGGTTATCTAGGGAACTACCCAGGAGGAAAATGAAGCCCGGTGTGGAGCAGGCGGCCAGGCCCAGGCCCCTGCTGGTAATGCAGTATGTTGCTGTCACATTTGACTGCATACACAAATAGATGCTTGCACTTTTTTTTTTTTCTTGCTTTGCTTTGTTTTGTTTTGTTTTGCCTTTCATTACAGCTTGCATTTTGTAAGGCAATGAAAAAAAAAATAGCTTGGAAGGATTTAAGTTTTCATATCTGCAGAAGGCATTTCTATGGCTTTTGTCAAATGTAGCCAGTCTGTAAAGTGTCTTTGTTTCTGGTTGACTGTTACAGAAAGCAAGTCCATAAACTAGTGCACATACGGGAGAGAATGATCTCTATTGAAAGTGGCGTGGTGTA